TCTGGATTTGTGCTGAAACAGTGAACAGATTATACCTGTGTCCCCTGATCAGCTGGGCTCAGCTGAGCCACCCTCTCGTGCACTTCCAGCCTCTTCACTGTTGGGGTGGGAAGTGGAAAAGGCCTTGGCTCTGTGTGCAAGCACTGCTCAGATATAGCTGAAACACCTCAGTACTACCTATAGCTGAAACACCTCAGTACTTCCTATAGCTGAAACACCTCAGTACTACCTATAGCTGAAACACCTCAGTACTACCTATAGCTGAAACACCTCAGTACTTCCTATAGCTGAAACACCTCAGTACTACCTACAGCTAAAACACCTCAGTACTTCCTATAGCTGAAACACCTCAGTACTTCCTATAGCTGAAACACCTCAGTACTACCTATAGCTAAAACACCTCAGTACTACCTACAGCTAAAACACCTCAGTACTTCCTATAGCTGAAACACCTCAGTACTACCTATAGCTGAAACACCTCAGTACTTCCTATAGCTGAAACACCTCAGTACTACCTACAGCTAAAACACCTCAGTACTTCCTATAGCTGAAACACCTCAGTACTACCTATAGCTGAAACACCTCTGTACTACCAACACTGTACTACCAACACTGTCCTCAGCACAGATCCACCACAGCACCACCCACACTACGCTGTGGAGAAGCCAACACCAGCACAACACTGAAATAAAGCCCTTACTCCTTTTCTGCACCATCTCTCAATCCATGTCCTGACAGGAAGTTTCAAGAGAATGACAAGTCACCTAGCATTCCTTGAACAGTCAACACTTATGGTCTAATCCCACATTTATGTATCAAACATGGTACTTTCTAGAAAAGAATAAGGTTTGGAGAGCCAGAGCAGTTTGGCCTAAATAGGTATTTTGACATCATAGGTTACTAACTCTTATTTTTCCAGCTGAGCTGGCACTGGACTCCATTGGCTTGCACTGTATTTTATTCTCAAGAAAAGCCTTTACAAAAACTGTTTGAGCTTCACTGAGACATGTTAAAGAATTAATTACAAAGTAAAGCTGAAGGAGAAAATTAATTTTGGAAACACAAGAGGTTACTTTTCTTTTCCTCCCTTTTCTGGAAGTGGGGGAGGAAAGGCAGTTATTTTCATCTTCATGCTGGGGGCAGGAGCTGGGAGCTGTCCAGTCGATAACCTGGCCATCAGAACAAGGTTTGTAATTAAAAGGTCACTGACCTGGAAAGCTGGGGCCTCACTCTCAGAGCTTCTCAGTAATGACGGCACTATTAAATTAAGACTGTTATGAAATCAATGCTAAAAAAGCTTTCATGGTAACGAGATTCCATTCAAGGACATGCAAACTGCCTCATGAAATGGACTTAAATTATAAAAAAAAAAAAAAAGGGAGTAATAAAAGAGGGTTAAATTGAAATCTGCTGAAGAATTTGCTTTTTTTAAGCCCTCCAGCAGTGGGCTGTGCCCCCATCCTTCAGGTCCTGAAGGTGATTACTTGGGTTTCTTTGACAAAGGGGAAAAGGCAGGTTCAACTTCCAAGAATGCAGACTAAAGAAAGAGGAAGAAAATCAAGTCAGGTTTTGGCTGGAGATTTTGGGGCTGACAGCATTTGTTTCCAGGGGATCAAGTGCCTTTGAGCTCTGACTGGGAAGGGCATGTAGAATTAAATAATTTTTTCATCTCTTCAGAAATCATCATAGTCTGGCATCTTGACACTGGAAAAATTTTCTGGAACATTGATGCACTGCAGAAAACCTTCTGAGTGGACATTTTCCCAACATAACTCAACAATTGTACATTAACTTGCTTTAATGCACCTCTGTTCTTCCATCACTATTATTTCTGAGCTCCTCATATGCTTTCATCAGTTCCCACAACCCCACTCTGGAAAGGCATTACTGTAGTCATTTTACAGATGAAGAGAACAAGCAACTAAGAAAACAGTTCTTCATCCAAGATGACACAACAAGTCTGTCACCTCGCAGTTTTCCCCTTCTCTGCCCCAAAAACCCAGCACCCTGAAAACAGAGCTTGCCATGTACAGTGCATTTCCACCCCCTTTCTCTGTCTTGCCAGACCTTAAGAGATTCAGAGCACACAAAATTAACAAGGCACACGAGTTACCGGATGGGTAGCTGAGCAGTGCAGGACATCTGAGGCACAACAGTTAAATGACAGACACATTTCCACAAGGGTTTAAGCCCCACATGCTGTCTAATTACTCCCAAGGCGCCGCTGATTCTGTGGCATGTCATCAGCAGAATCAGCGAGTTGGACAAAAAACAAACAGCATCTTTTTTTTCTTTCTTTTCTTTCAGATACTCTGAGGGGAAACAGCTGTTTTTCCCTTCATCTGAAGAAGTTCATGATAAAAAGGAGGAAATGTCATAAATTACACAAAATGCCAGTGTAAGCTTCAAAGAAAATGATAAATGATTCTAATAACTTCATGTTTCTCATTAATGCCTCTGTATATGGGAGTTTAAAAGTGCTTAAGACAACAGAGAAATCTCATCTGACTTTTGAAAGCCCTTTTACAAATCCAGGATACCCTCACTCTCCCAACTGTCATCAACACTCTATCACCCCATGTGCCAGAGGGAGCAGTTCAGCACACCTGAACTGCACAGAACCAGGAACACCTGATTTCAGCCTCTACAACTACTGTTTCACCAAACCCAGTCCAGCTGATAATCCCGCAGAAACCTTCATTTCTCATCTCACTGAAATGCACTAAACCAAATCCAGCTCCTATACTAAAAGGAAATAAAATTTGATTGGCCTTTATAAGGAAGGAGATGCTTGTAGAAAAAGAAGAAAATACTGTAATTCTTGGCAGAATCACCTCTGTGAGTCTCAGAAGTGAAATTTCTTAAGCCAAGTCAGCCTTGCAGGACCTTTTTCAACTGGCAGTGGGGACTCTCTACCAGACAGCCTCAGCTGGGGATAAACATTATCACTGGGATGACAGGGACTGTACATCAGAGAACAGGGGGAACAGCCCACCAAACCCTGTAGTCCCTCATCTGCTCAGGCCTAAACCAGCCACAACAGTTTCAAGAACTGACTCCATCTGCTAGACCACATAGGCACCACGCCAGCACGGAACACAGGCCACATTCCATGTGCACACATTTCCAGTGACTGCTGGCTACAGGCGCTACTGGACCCTACTCCTTCCCATCTCCTATGGTTGAGTTTAGGAAAAAAAACAATTAGCACAGAGGGAAGGAGGGCTAATTAACACACAGGAACAAACAAACAGTTCTACCAAACCATTTCTGCTCTTTAGTAATTATTAGCCAAGTAATTCATAAGAAGTATTAGTCCGGCCACAGTTTCTCTGCGCCTCCATCTCCCCACCCTTCCTCTTCTCCCAGTCAGGGATTTATTAAAATTAAACAGATTAGATGGAGCTCCTGATACGAAAAACTGTTCAGCGAAGCCTGCGGTGGGGAAGTGCAGAGCAAACACCAGAGACATTTGTCTCTAAATTGCTCTAAATACCTTCTGCAAATGAAATTCTAACCCAGCTGTGTTGAGAGAGAAAATGAGGACTAACTGGTCATTGTCAGCACAGAAGAAGATCAGGCAGTTATAATATTGCACGATATACTGGGGGCTAAGGATCTCTCGGCAACAATAGATTTTGTATCAGGTTACCCCGGGTAATCAGCACAGCTTTTAGGCTCAGCTTTCCCTTGCTTCATTGCTTCGATGATAGAGTTGAAATCCCCAAGCTTTTATGATTAATTACTCCCCGTAGGTCCACATATTTCAAGGAAAAACTCATGGTGCACAGCGACCAACAGGCTCCAAATTTTAATGTCATCCTGATGGCAGGGCAGGGCAAGCAACGTCCCTACGTGATTGGAATGTCCTCTGAACTGGCACTAGGACAAGCAGAGAGGATCTCACTCCAAATGATGTGCCCCTGAGCTACTTGTCATGACATCATTGCCAAAACACAAGGCTGCCATTCCCTTCTAGGTTCCCTGCTATTCAGGATGAGCAAACTGGCGCATGTATTTGAACTCTCCATCTCGTGACTTCAGGTCTCAGGCATCTCAATAGGCACTTCATAACTCCAAACAGAAAAATACGGATTTCATAGGCTTCCCTACTTTTCAAAGCTCAAGATCTTTAGCTCTAGAATTAGATGTACCTTGAAGTACTTGTGACTTCAATGTGTATGTGGGTCACCCCCCTCTGAAGTTTGGAATTTGTGTTTTCAGCATCATTTCAACACCTTACAGTACTCTACAACACACGTAATTAACTTCAAGTTAAAGCTGCTGTTATTTATGTCTTCTGGTAAGCAATATGGTCCCGGGACTGTAGCAAAATATAGAGTGAACATCACCTGGAATGCACTGCAAGTTGTGGAACAAAAACTTTAGAAATAAAATAGGAACAAAAGATAGTTCCACTATGAGTCAGAAAGCAAAATAAATTTTCTGTAGGCAATGACCAAACTATGCTGCACCTCACTAAGATGATATAGGATTTGTCAGGATCTGTTCTATCCCTGCTATAGAAAAGGGCTAAACTCAGTCAGTAGTTTACCATTTCAGCCTGAAAGTCAGGTTGACCCCAAGCTTGACCTTAACCTGACCTTGTTGACTTTTACCAGGTTCTTTGCCTCTCTCTGGCTCTCTTTGGAAACATTTGACCTTTTCACCCAGAGATTGGCCATTCTAATGCCAGTGTCAATAAGGTTTGAACTGACCAGCTAGTCCACAAGCATGAACTGCCCTCATTGTAGAAAAGATCTGATAACAGTTATTTCCCATGTGTCTTTTGTATTCTACAATTCCACATCTGGTGCAAATATTGCACTAGTCAGTTGGGAAGAAAAGAGACTGATATTTCTTATAAACCTCAGATCTTCTTTAGGGGCAGACTAATTGCTTTGTCCGTAACATCCAATATTCCACAGCAATACCTTTTGACTTTACATTAATTCAAGGTCCCTCATTATCATTGAGATCACAACCTAAAGAGTTCATACCTTTCTTCTTCAGGAATGCTCTTCTGGTTGCGACAGGACTTTGGCGGACTCGTGGATTCTGTAAAAATTTCACTGCTGTCACAATCTGAGGAGGGCAGGAGGATTGGAGAGAAAAAAAGAGAGAAAAGATCCAAGTTAGGCATGGTCAAATCCCTATTTTACATTAGGCACTGTGGACTGCAAGGTAAGACAACAACACACCCATCACATGGAGATTGTCTGGAGACAACACCAACCTTCAGAAATGGTTCAGCAAGTATCAGAGTTTGTGGTTTAACTCTAAACAGACAGCACAATTACGGTGTTTAGCTTAGAAGTTTCTTGTTTAATTACTTTGGGAGCAGCTCTACCTGTACAAAAAACTCCTTTAAGATTATTACGTGTTTCTGGTATTTACATTGTGATCTTCTTACCTAAGTTGGCTCCTACAGTTAAAGTCAGCCTTGAGTCAATGCATGTCATCTACAACAGTTGGCTTATTGTAAGAATGCTTCCTTTCTATCTGACTTAAAGCTCCCTGCAGATTCTAAGAGATTAAGGCCTTTTCTGCCATCATTCTAATTTATTGAAAGCAATAAATAAACCTCAGCTTCTCATGACTAGAGAAGAAGCGACTTCACATGTTTTGGATCACATAACAACAATCAAAAAAGTCACTTGGAATGACACAAATGGGTAGGCAAGTAGTTAAATTTATATTGCACACCAGCAAAAGCCACAGATGACTTTTGTCTACAAACTGACTTCTACATCCTTCTTTAAGGTGACAGAGCACCTAAAACAGAGCACTTCTACAAGCAAAGGGTAAAATCTGGGATAATACTCAATGGCATCAACAACAACAGCACTAGATGTTTACATTTCCATTTAGTGCCAGTGAAAGGTATTTGATTTTTTTCTTCATATGGTAGTTCCATTTCCCACATACTTCCCTATATTGCTATACACGTTATTACATGTTACTGCACCAGTGATTCCCTCCACTTTTATACAAAAACATCTGTTCTGATTGTGGCATCATGAGGAATAATGTGCTAACAGCACATCCATGTGAACTAGTGGAAGAGATTACTTCCCTTCTCTAGCGCTAAAATTAACCATCCTAATGTGCCAGACCCATGTTATTCAGGTCTTTAAGAGTTTATCTGAAAATACAGTTTCTGGAATTCAGTTCCAAAAAGGTTTCCAAAACTTTGACAGCAGAAAAAGAAGGGAAAATACAGCATCACTCCTGAAATCACTAAGTTTCACTTTGTGTTTGAATCAAACACTTGGAATATGCATTTCTGGTCAGAGAGCAAAGTTCTGATGGGTTTAATGGCACTTTCAATGTACTCCTCAGTGCATTCCATCAATGTTTTTTTCTTTTAAATTGCATCTCTTATTTCTTTAAATACATTAATCAGGCTAGTGTAGGCAAAACGGATCCATTGGACAATGCAATAAACATGAATTATCATCTATCCAACATGCATAATGGCTTAAAAATACATAATAGCAGGTGTAGTTTAAATGATTAGTTATTACACCTGTGGTGGGTCTGATTCAATTGGGGAAAATCATCTTTAATAGGTTAAAAGGTTTAGATCACCAGGCTTCCCTTAAAGTGGCTGTAGAGAGGGTATGATGGAGTACGCTGTCATTACTAATTCATTTAAGAAAAACATGGGGGATACAGCAAAGAACAGCATAAACGAGTGAATCCAATTTAAACATCAGGTAAAGCAGAAAACACCTTTTAAAAAAGCATGATAAATGAATTTGGAAGAGAGATGAAATTGACATATTTATTTTAACGGGAATTTGACAAAGTCCCAGCACACTTCAAAGTTGGGAGGATAAAATGAATGGGGTATTTTTAATTCTTTTCATTTTCTTGTTTTCCTGCATTTTTTCCTTAAGTTCCATTCAGTAATTTTGAACCACAAAACAGCAGAGTAAAAACCACCCCACATAAAGTATACTTTGGCTTCATTTATGTGCACTTGATCTGTCTCCAGCTGAAATGCAGGCGACAGGTAAATCGCAGATTTAAACTGTGCTGATATTGCTGTGCCAGATGCAGAAATATAAAGCACCCAAACTAATAACCTTAAGATAATATGCTGAATAAGAAAGATGCCCAAATGAGCAGACCGACAGACACGTGAACATATCAAAGCCACTCTCCTTCTAACAATAATTACTTGTTTGTGTCTTCAGACACTCCTTAACACTCCCTCCCACATTTAGTGAGATAGACACGAACGGCCTGCAGACCTGCAGCTCTGCAAGCTCTTATATTTAATTATCAATTTTTAAGTATTACAAAACCTGTGAGAAATAAGCAGTATTTTTCATTGTGCTAATTCAATCGCAACCATGTGAACATTTCATTGATTCTAACCCTTTATTAAAGCTTATTTTTGCCTTATAAAGATGTAAACATTTCGGTAGTAAATTTCAGTCCAAAATAAACTTCTATTTTATCTCTCCCCTGCATTACTTCCTCCATTATTCACAGCCTTTTTAATCTTAAAACAAAATGAAATTACAAGCAACAACAACTCCATAGAAAGAATCCTGGACATGTATTCCTCCCTCCGGTAATCCCATGTTTCTCATCCTGTGTTTGCATTCACCTCTGAACATTCGTTCCTATAGGCTGAGATGAAATGTCTTCATTTTTATAATTAATCTCGTATACACGAGTAACTTACAAAGCAATTTTGGCCATGTCAAAATGCCAATATTTTCAACAAACATACACAAGAATTTCCCTACCTTCTATGGATCATTTTCCTTGCACAAACAAGAGCAACTGCACTCCATAATTTAAACAACAGAAAAAGGAGGAGGAAGATGAGAAGACTTGCAGTCCTATGTACAGCCAAAAAAATCATGTGGCAAATAGCACTCTGACTCAGCTGCTAACATTGTTCCATACTATTTCTGTAGCATTTGTAACACTTCTCCAAATTTTTATGGTATTAGGACACTGCCAAATAATGAGCACTGTATCACTGCGTTGATTCTTAGATTGCCAGCACACACTGTCGAGCAGAGTGCCTTTATCTAATGGATCAGGTACTTGTATTAAACAGAGTGTATTTGGTTTTTAAAAAGCCAGGCAATCCCATAAACTTGCTTTCCCGCCACCGTCTCTCCTGCAGCAACAGGATTCACAAAGACATCTTTCTGACTGGGAAGAGATGGGTGAAATCCTGCAGCAGGTCATGTCCTACAGTTTGATTTTTCAATTAAAAGATCAATGTCACTATTCATAGATTATATTTGCAACCGGACAAATTACATAAATTCAGGCCAAATATTCTGCTTCAATGTCAGAAATATAAAATAAAGACAGGAACTTTGTTGCAGATGCTATGGAAGAGCACAGAGCTGGCAAAATTCTGGGGCAAAGCACAGCACTTGGACGTTAACTTAGCAGCCAAGGCCCTTCATTCCTAATTTCCCTCCCTTTTGTTCTAATGGGGAAGATAAAGGCAGCCTTATTTCTTACTGTGCTCAAAGCTGTGGGGTTTCCAAGAAAGCAATCTAAGCTACTTTATCAGTTGGTTACATTAAAAAAATAAACCACAAAATTTAAGGTACTGTGGCAAATGCCTATTCTCTACCAACTCAGAAATAAAAAGCAAAATAACAGAAATGTAGTAGATCTTTACCAATAAAAGTTACAAAGGATTTGGTAAGAGAGTTCCACATGGAAAACAGACTCAAAAGCCACTGGGAGTGCAGCCTGTAAGAGCTCTAATAGATTTCCTAATACTGGGAACCCTCTGTAGGTTATTACTAAACAGCATTTGTTGATAGACTGAGACTTTGAGATGACCTGTGATGTAAAGGTTGGGTCTGAATTATACGTTGCAAGGGATGGTATTTTGTCTTTCTGAGTGGATCTGTATCTGTTTAAAAGCAACACTTCTTTTCATTAAACAGAGGCGGCCCAGGCCATGAACTATGCACAGACAGTTTACATTACATGTGCGGAAGCAATCAACACTGGCAATATACATGACGTATGTAAAAGAAGTTGGAATTAATTTTTTTCCAGTGTATTAAAAAATAATAATATGGCAGTATCAACAAACACTCAACCTATTTCAGCCAGAGCAGAAGGCCACAGCTATAGGGCAAATGGAATTGATCAATATATTAGCCTACAGCAACACCCCCTCAGCGTACGGCTGTATGTTTGCAAGGCTCGGAAGATTAAATTGTCTGTGAAAGGTTTCTGCACTCCTACTCTAAAGGAGATACCCAGAATCCTGTTAACAAGCATCAGGCTGAAGCCAACTTACGTTTTAACAAGGGCTGACTTAAAAGCCTGGCACAACAGTGAACAAGAAAGCCCCTTGCAACAGAAATGCTGTGTTTTAGTAAGAAATCAGTGCCCTGCCAGGACTAACTTGACAAATATGGTTATCGGTGGCACACGGAAATAGTTGCAAAGCAGCTGTTAATCAGGGAAACACATCATAGAACGCTGATGCCAGCACTCGGGGAAAATGCAAGGGGCTAATTATGAAGCCATATATCTCGGTAAGGAGGCACCGCTGCCGCCCGGCGGGCCCGGGACGAGCCGCGGCCGCCGCGCTCTGCGCCCCGGCACTGCCGCCGAGCTGCACTTGTGCTCGTGAGGGAACGAACTGCGGGCCGGCCCGGGGAGCGGGAACGCCTCAAAGCTCCTCCTGTGATTTTAAACGAAAACATACACAACCCCAGGAATTATTTCGGTTGAGATATAACATAGAAACCTACAAAGTTGGGCAGATCTCAAAGTTGGATGGAGAAAAGTTTAAAAATGCTGTAACAACAATGGCAAAGCCCTCACGTAAAACAGTGAGGGGGAAAAAAATACAGTTGAAAGCAAGATTCATGGGAGGCAGAAAAGCAAGATTCATGGGAACAAAGGCGAGGAAGAAACACACTTTGAGCCATATCTGAGATGAAGAACCTGGAAGTAAGAGAATACAGAGCAGCAGCCAAAAAAAAGAAAAAAACCTAAACACTAAACAAATAAACACACACAGACACACACACACAAAAAAAAAAAAAAAAAAGACCAAAAATAGCCACAAAAAA